CGACATTATCATATTTTAGTTTAATACTTACATATTAATAATATAATTAATAAATAATCCAAAAATGTATACGAATTGGTCACTTTTACCAGAAATAAATATCTTGAGCACAATATAAATATCAAAAATTTTGCTTCTCAGTGGAGAACGGTTACATATTTTTTAAATCGTATTTAAAAAAATACGAAAATAACACAAATCAATCGTTAAAGCATACTCAACGTGAGTTTACTTATGTTAATATCTTAGTTGATTTTTCTTATCATAAATAACGTTTTGTTTTATACGTTTGTTTTATTTTTTAATTTTGTGCGGCAGTTTCATGTAAATAATGAATTACTGATGTAAAAATAATATTGAAGTTAAAACCAATGATTCAATGACTAAAAAAGGTGCCAAATAAAACTTAATTCCAGTAAAATAATATATAGAAATGTTAAAAAATGCTAACCACGTGCTGCAGCTAATATTGTTGATATAGTTATATTACCTCTGGTAATATAATTATATTACCAGGCTGCTAAGAGCGCTCATTTTCTCCTTAGCCACATATGCATCGAAATGTGGACCTTAAAGAAAGCAGATAAAATTAAACTGGACGCTTTTGAAATGTGAGTATACCGCTGTATGTTGAGAATATCCTGGATTGATCATCGCACTAACGTATCGATATTAGAACAACTTAAAGTAAAAGATATATTGCTTAAACAAATACAACAGAGATATTTGCAGTATTTTCGACACATTGCTAGAAGAACAGGCACCATGGAAAAACTGATAGTCGAGGTTAGAGTTGAAGGAAAGAGACCCAGGGGAAGATCTCCAAGCCGTTGGGTAGATCAAACAAAAATATTGATTAACCACGGGTTACATGGTGTCACCACATCCCAAAAGGGATTAGGACTGAGGAGGAGGAGGAGTTATATTACCATTATATATTGTATATTTTTTATAGACTTTCGCTGATTTTTACAGATATTCGCAGACCTTTCGACACAGTGGACTTTGGTGCAATTTTAAAATCATTAGAGCGGAATATAAGAATGTAGCTACTACAAACTCAGTAGAAATATATATATATATATATATATATATATATATATATATATATATATATATATATATATATATATGAAAATGTAAAAGCTACTATAGATCTTCACGGGACCACCAATAAAATAGATATTAGAAAAAGAGTCAATAATTTGAAATTTGCAGATGACATCGTCCATATAGCCGATCGTATGGATGATGCAATAATAATGTTTAAAAAATTATATCACGCTTCCTTGGAGGTCGGATTAAAGATTAATATAAACAAGACGAAAGTAATAACTAATCTGGTGCTAAATCGAAACATTGCTGTTGATTCAAGAGATATTGTGCAGACTACATCGTATAAGTACCTAGGACATGAAATTTGGTTGAGCAAAAATAACCAGACATGTAAGTTCCCATATCGCATAGGATTAGCCTAAGCAGCGTTTGGTAAATTAAACTATATATTTAAATCGGATCTACCCATATGCCTCAAACGAAAAATCTTTGACCAATGTGTGTTACCTGTACTCACTTATGGAGCAAAAACATTAACACTCACAAAAAAGGTAGTTAATAAGATCCGCGTGACTCAGATGGCTATGGAGCGGTAGATGTTGGGTGGCTCTCTGAGAGACCGAATCCCAAACGAAGAAATACGTCGTCGAACAAAAACAATAGACGCTATCGAAAAAATCGCGCCAATAAATGGAATTGGACAGGACACGTCGCCAGATTATCAGACAACCAATGGACAAAACCTATAAGACCAAGACAAGAAGCCAACTAAATGGACTGATGATCTGAAGTGTCTTAGCAATAACTGGATGCAAGCCACATAAGACAGAGACAGATGGAAAGAGCTGAGGGAGACCTATGTCCAGCAGTTGACACATACAGGTTGATGATAATGAAGACAAGGTGACACTATATCCCCACAATTGTTGTTAACAGTAATATAATATTCTTTTAAAATACTGAACTGGGAGGACAAAGAAATCATCATAGAAAGAGAATCCCTTCGATTTGCGGATGACATAGTATTGATAGCGAGTGAAAAGAAGCTAAAAACATGCTGGAAGAATTTATTGCAGCAACAGGACTAGCGGTAAAATTAATGAAAGCAAAATCGAAATATCATCAACCTAGTACCCAATTTTTATCCCAATTTACATAGGTATTTGGGACATAAAATTAAAATCACAATAGATAATGAGATAAGACATGTCAGCTACAAAGAATATCTCTGAGCTGTGCTGTCTAGGGCAAATTAAGACACATATTTAAATCGGAAGTGCCCATGAATGCCATGCAAGAAGTGCGTTGTGTGTGTCTTGCTAGTCCTTACATATGGATCCGGAACCCTGCTTCTGTCCTGGTTTTACAACCCGCCTTTCAAAGAATTTCTCTCCAGTCGTTAACATTTACCGCCTTCCTCGTGCAAACACGTATTTCCACATTTCTCATCTCTTCATCGATGTTATCAAGGAGCCTTGTTCTGGGTCTTCCTCTTTTTCTTTGACCACTGGGTCTGTCGAGGAGCGTTTTTCTAACTGAGTCATTTTGTTCCATCCACATTACATGCCCTATCTATCTCAGACGTTCTATCGTAATATGTTTTACGATATCTGATTCCTGGTATCTTCACTGTCATTCACCGCACCATAGATTCGTCTTACGAAATTTTTTGAAAACTCTTACTCTTACCTTATTTCTCATTTGAAACTCTTACCCTTACCCAAAAACAGCCAGAATTAAAAAAAGCCATAAGGAGAAAAGAACGCTCAATGCTTGACCCAACACTGAAAGACAGGATAAGAAACGAAGGGATACGTAAAAAGTGAAAAGTGGATGTTGTTATTTTAATTTGGAATTTCGCATTAAAAGGTGAAGATGGAGATGAGCGGGACCTGTATCACGACTATGGGTTGGGAGATGGACAAGACAGATTCTGGAATAAAGGCCAAGAAGTAATAAACGCAACCAAGGCAGACCTTCCATCCGCTGAACAGATGACATCTAGAGTTTCTCGACGAATTAGGTTACAACAACAAAAGATAGAAATAATGTCGATCCTAGGTACGTAAAACTTTCACCATCCAAAGTTATCATTTTATTTGCATTGGTAAATCTGTCTTCGAATTAACATTCCAAATAATCTGTTTTTTTTTTCTACAAAGTTTTAAACTTTCCTCTTCAAGGACTTGTCTCGACTATTCCAGTTTTTGTTCTAAATTTAAATAAGTACTAAGCACCGAGCTTCGTCACAATCCTACTTTCACATAAAATTTATCAGTCTCTTCCACATTTGTCCTAACACTAGTTGTTATTCCTTTATACATGTCTTTACAATCTTCACTTATTCACCAAGAATTTCTTTCTAATTGAACGCCCACCACAGGAACTCTCGAGGAATTGGATCATACGGTTTCTTAAGATTCGTAAATAACATATAAATATTTATTTATTTATTCCTATAATTTTCCATAATCTACCTTATAATAAAAATTGCATCCAACCTCGCGCATGTGGCGTGTGCCGACTATATACGAAGAGGTGGACAGTGGCGGGATTATGTTTTTATTTAATTAAAGGCACCGAATAGTTACCGCTGCTCTACTGACAGCGCAGATAAATATGTAAACAAGGCGCTTGGATCGAATCGGTACAAAAAAAGGATTTGCGCTTGATCTTCGTAACTGGCGCCTACTGTAATATATTGCTTTTGCATTCATCTGGCATTTGTTCTACTTCCATAATTCTATTAAACAAACATCTTTCCAACTTCTTCCCGTCTCTCCTTAAGCTATCCTCACTTTCCCAGTGATGCCATCTTGTCCTGATGACCAACTGGTTGACCTTTTTTTATTTGACGAAGTGCTTGAACAACTTGTTCTTGCTTGTTGTTTTGGTGACCATTGCTGTGACTGTCTTCGTTAACTTACCAGCTTAACTGGATACTTAACTTACTTGGATACTTGATTGAATAAGTAATATTTTTTGAATAATAAAGATTTTATTGTGCCATTGAAATCAACATTTCGGCAGGCAATCCTTGCCTTTGTCAAGATTCTAATATGTATCTGGTATCTCATTGATTACTATTATTAATATATAATTATGTTTACATGGGCGTACCGTTGATGTTTTCAAAAAAGGTAAAGTGAATGTTACATTTTTCGAATTTTTTTATTTTGATATATTTATTATTATCATAATCAGATCGAAATATGCTTTATTTATTTTCTTTGTATCTTTTCTCTCTTCTCTTTGTTTTGCTTTTTTTTAATTTCGATGTTGAAACAGTTGACTGGTATAATTTATATTGGACAAGTCAGTCAACTGCTTTAATCCAGAATTCGTTCTCACAAATATGAAAATAACAACATCACTGCGCTCACAAAGCATAAGATTAAGAAGAAGGATAAATTTTAGTTCAAAAACACCAAAACTTTAAAAACCTAGCAAAATATATGGATATAACCCTTCCTCATGTGTTCTGTATGTATATGTGTATCTCCGCAAAGCCTATTACTCTCATTGGTATGCTGCAGCTAAAAAGAGTCATTTATGGTAGATTTAACATTACCAAACCATTCATTATTAACTGTTTCATGTATAAATTTTATTTGAAGTTTACAATTTTGTTTTTTTATTACCAAAATTAAATTTAGCACTTTGTTAATAAAAATTGCTTTTTATGTAATTTAATTAGATGCTAAAATAAAGTCGAGACTTGATATAAATATCCAGCTAATATTAATAAACACCGTTGACAAACATGTACTGGTCAGAATGTTTCTTCCAGTAATATATTATATTAATCATTTATAATATAAATCAAATTTTAAATAAAACAACAACAGCTTGATATATAATCGTTCTCCAACGACAAAGCAATATTTGAGAATACTTCAGTCAATAAATAATAAATTATTCAAAATATCAATATGTACTTATTTTTAGTCAACCTTCACGGTGAGGGTCTGCGTTTCGGCATGCACTGTCTTCTTATACTTCTGCGTTTTTGAATCCCACATCATACAAGAAGACTCCAGGTGTTTGTTAAGATAAGACTTCAACGCGAACGTTTTGTTACACTTATTACAACTGAAGTTCTTGTCGTTTGAGTGCGTCTGCATGTGCGCCCGCAAATTAGATCTGTCGGCAAACGCTTTACCGCAATGCGCGCACCCGTACGGTTTTTCCCCGGTATGCGACCGAAGATGGCCTTGAAGCAACCAAGGCCTGGAGAATTGCTTACCGCAGATTCCGCAGCTATGGGCCAATTTGTGGGTGAGTAAATGCATAGCTAGAGCGGGCATACTCACGTAGGCCTTGCCGCATGTTACACATTTTTTCGCCGATTGGGAGTCAAGGCTGCGATGGGTTTGTTTGTGCCGGGAGAGATTACTGGACGTCGCATATTGTTTACCACACTCCCCACAAATGTATCTGCTTTTTTGAATGTCTTCAGTCGACTCGACGTCTATTTCTTGGTCTTCGTCATCCTCTACCACTTTGTAGAATTTCTGAAACAAGATTTATAATTGAATTATTCAAACACATGAAAATGGTCTTAATATATTATAATATAGCCCAATAAAATTAAAAAAAATTTTGATTTTAATTTAATTTTTTTATTATTCGCTTTGGATTGCTTGATCTATTCAGTCATGATAGATAATAAATACTGTTTGCTACAATATTAAATATAAGTATATTATATACAGCGAACATATTGAGATAACAATAGATATTTAACAAATTAGCATAGTAATATTATGATTTTTAATTGATAAACTTAAATAGTGATTAAAGAAATAATTTATAAGTTATAGACTAGAGAATATTATAAAAAGTATTTATATGAAGGTATTTTTAAGAAATTAGCATAAGAATAAGTTTAAAAAGTTTTTTTTTATTTTATTTTATTAATAAATATATTTAAGTGAGCCAGGTGCATAGGCAACCAACTATACTGTATTATGACATGTGAAATGTGGTTATTTATTAGTTTGGTATGTTTAATTTACATACAATTACGGATGTAAAATAGTGTTATGTGGTGATTTAGGATGTTTAGTTTATATAAATTTGTATATTCTGATCTTAAAAGCCTAAATGTCTATAAGTTTCTCACTAGAAGGGTAGAGAATTTTCTGGAAAACATCAAAATAGAAGGCAGTTAACCCTATTTGCATAGTCTATTATTCCAGAACTTTCATATATTGATGAGATGAAGAGTTTCGAACATGATTTATTGCTAGAACATTCTGGAACCATGAAAAGATATAAATACGATGTAATTTGGAGCAAGCATACATTATTAAGCTAGTGACAGTATGAGAGTTATTATTAATAATAATTCATTATTAAGTCAGTTACGATTCATTCATTATTAAGTTAGTGACAGTATGAGAGTAAATTCATTATTTAGTCAGTTACAATTCATTATTAAGTCAGGTACAATTCATTATTAAAACAGTTATGATTATTATTAAGTCAGTTACATTAGATTCATTAAGTTAGTGACAGTATAAGAGTAAATTAGATTAAGCCAGATACAGTTAGAGAGTATGAGAGTAAATTAAAACAGTTATTTCAAGACAGTGATAGTTAATAATTAGTACAGTTACAGTGACAGTATGGAGTTAGTTAATTAAAAAGTTAAACAGGAGACAGTTCGACAGTTAGTTAGTGAATTTATTAAGAAAGTAAATACATTCCCAAAACTGAAGTGTGTTACTCACAAATTTCTAATTAAAGGACACACTCAAAATGAGGGCGATGCAGTTCATTCTACAATTCAAAGAAATGTGTCCAGAGCTTTGAAGTCTTCTCCAATTTATGTGCCTGACCAATATATAACATTAATAAAAACTGCAAAGAAGAAAGGGTCGCCTTATTAAGTGAAAGAACTGACCCATGAAAGTTTCTTTAATCTCAAACAACTTGCTTGTGGAAACTACACCACTAACGAAGATGGAGATAGGTTGAAATGGTGTGAAATAAAGATAATTCACATTGAAAAACAAAAAATTAACACATTTTCATATAAGACTTCTTATCAAGATGAAGCGTTCAAATCTGTGATGATATTAAAAAAAAAGGCAACAAAATTCTAGTAATTCTGACATTACACCAAAGAGATTATATTCTCAGAAGCTAAAAATTGCACAACCAAAGAAACAGGGTATTCTTAACCTGATAACTAAAAATATCATACCAAAGTATTATGAAGGAATCTTTTCCAATCTTTAAGACGGATGTTCAAGTATAGAGTTACACAGATTCTTATAAACGGTCAATACATTTTTATCGCGATTTCTTAATATTTCTAGTTGTTTATGCAACTAATACTCAATAAGTACAAATTATGACCAAAATGTGACAGTGTTTTTATTAGCTAGTTATAAATAATAATTGTACCGTGTAAAAATAATAGGTCATTTTTGAAGTGTCTTTAATAAGTTATCACTACCTATCTATGTAACTTGAGAGTAACTACATAGTCGTAATTTAAGATACAGACTTTTATTATGTTTCCGAAACCAAGACTTATTTAGCTTTATAACTAACTTTTGTTTTTTTTGATAGCCTGACATTGTCATCTTTTTTTTTTTTGTAATAATTGTACTAAAATCTACATAAAGTAACGACAAAAACATTGATTGAAATCTTTATTTCTTTGGTATGTGTCCTTTTATTTTTAGTACTTATAATGATATCACAAATATTCTTTATACAAAAGAGACACATCTGCTAATATCTCTTTCAGGAAAATACTTACGTTGTATCTGAATACAATATCAAATACAATTTAAATTTACCTTTCTAACAATACTTAACTTGCATATAAATTATATAAAATAAAAGAGAAATTAACAAAAAATAAAGGCCAAAACTTTGCATAGCTCTCCTGTAAAAACTGTAATTTTGGTTTGTGGCTCTTTTGTATTGAAGTAGCGATATGTAGGACTGAGGTTGTTCGTATCTATTATCATCAAAAAGTTTTGGTATGTATTTGGTTCATATGCATATTTCTTGATTTTTACTGCGATGATATTTCCCTGTTGATCTTTCAGATAGCTAGCTGTGTTGGATTTTTGAAGACCAGTTGCTTGTTTTACCTTTTTATGCATATTAAATTCATCGTGTTTTTTACAAACCGAATTTATTACTACGAAAATACATTTTGTTCAGGGTGCTAGATGCTGTAAGCATAAAGGATATGCTGTAAGCATATAAGGAATATTATCTCTAATTGTTGATTAACTCCTTTTCTCCTTTAACTATCTCCTCCTTCTTCAGTCATTTCCTCTACTTCTATTCTCATCAAGTCTCTGAGGAGCTTAGCCTCTTCAATTTTAAATTAATCACATAGGTTACAACTCTGATTTCTTCAGCCTGTAGATTTTCAATTTACCAAACTTGTTTTTATTAATTTCTCACCATACTAACAGTCTTAAATAGTCATCTAAATACAAGGTCTTATATTAGCTTCAAATATTTGCTATTAAAATTTTTACCTGTCCTAGATGTGATAAACATAAAAGGACAATTTTCATATATATAAGCTAATCTAACATAAAATACACTTTTAGACCATATTCCATACGACAAAAAGCAACATAGGTTACCTAATACACAGGTCATCCTCTTAAACATAACTTTAACACCATTGGTGATTTCACATCGATTATAACCCAAATTTTAAATATCAACACCTATATTGCTGTTATTATTATTATTATTTTTTTTAATCATCAAAAATAATTTTTGAATCTTTTGGCTGTAGTAATACTAGGTATAACTAATATAGTTCTATGTTACATTGACATTTTGTTTTTGACACCTTTCATAGGTATATTGTAAATCAGTTTCCAGCTGTTCTCCGTGCGTAGAGGTTTTCTCCCCGGCTCTGGAACTCAATTTTTGCAATGTATGTTACCTGAAGTCATATTTAATTTATTACTGAACATCACAGTTGTTTAACAACAAGATGTATAATCTTTTATAACTATGTGTAATTTAAAGGGTTTTTACCCATGTATTTTTGGTGGCTCAGGCATTTTAACCTATTAAGTATAGCCATTTTTGCTTTTTAACCATAGTCAAAATTTCATAACCACGTTTGTTTTAACTAAATGGTTTATACTTATTTTAGGCGATTTTAAACCTGATGATGGACTGTTTAGTCCGAAAACGTTTGTTTTTTTGATGTAGCCCTTTTAAGGGTTTTTAAATAAATATACCCACTTACGAAGACTAACCTCTTTTTTTGTGATACGTGGTATACAGCCAGCTACAGGAATTGTTTTCCTTGTGGATTTCATCGTGTTTTGTTCCAACAACTCTATCTCTTCACACTGTGTTTTTAACCAATTTTCTTTGTCTTTTGGTATTTCCGGTTCTTATTTGTCTTTGAATATTTTTGTACATTCTTTTGTTATTATTTGATTTTCTGCTTTCTTCCATGGGTTGCAGTATATTGTCATGCATTCAACTTTTCCTCTTATCTTAATTGTCTATTAGATGTTCTTCTCGAATCTTGTTAAAGGATTCACGTATATTCTGGAACAGACATTCTTTACAATACTACAAAATACATTTGACATTAACTGACAATATATTTGGTTTGATGTCATTTTTTTATAGCTACCTCTGGATTGAACGTAATTATGAAACAATCAACGTATGTTGACATAAGTGAATACGTAGCCAGGGTTTATAGAATTTTTTTATTCAACCAATATAAGGTTGAATGTTCGAATAAATGAACTTTGATGGTACACAAGGCAAATATCGAACACAGTATTTAATCAAATCTTACTAAGTACTTTCGATCACAAGATCATCTTCAGGGGCATCTGAAATAAGCCAAGAAACGTTTTTTAAAAAAGGAAAATTAATTCACTTGGATAAAAACTCCAAGTTTATAGTTGAAAAAAGTTTTTTTATGTGATTAACGTTTATAGACTTACTTCGTCAGTTGTGGCCTATCCAGCAGTAACAGAATGTCATAAATGTAAATTGGGACATAACAAATACACTAAACAAAGGCAAACAAACACTTTAAAATTTAAAATTGGAGGAGCTACATTTTATATAGAAGCCGGTTTTCTATAAACGTTGTACTCTAAAGAATCTTTGTTACGGGATATAGTCAACAAAGTTTCTTTAGAGTACAACATTTATAGAAAACCCACCCAAACAGATCACGCTATACATGAAACGTCTAACCACCAAACTCAGCATAAAATGGCTGCTTTCAACAGTTACATTCATCGATTACTTAAATTTCCTCTTTCTGATGATAATTTTAATAAAGAACTCAATACTCTTAAGCAGATTGCTGTCAATAATGGCTATGATCCTAACATTATATACAAACTTCTAAATAGAGCTAAACTAAAAATTGCAGAAAAGCTTGCATATTCATCACAGTCTTTTCAACCTAATGTTTCAGATAACATCAGATATTTCTCCTTCACTTATATTAGTAGCATTTCCAATAAAATATCTAAAC